AAAATTCACATTCTAAAAATGCAAAACATGATACAAGTCTCAGAATAGTCAAAATGGCAGTGCTAGCATATAAAATACTAAAAATGAAATCAAGTTAACCACTATTATATAGGTATGAGATCACAAGCTAATACTTATAAATTGCTTTCTGGTTGAACACAAGTTAATTCAGAATTCCTCCTTTCTCAGTACACCGAGTTAAAAGTTAAATAGTACCATAAACAGCAATATTTCAGTTTCCACAATTGCTAAAGCCTGCTACACAATCATGCTAAAGTGCTTCTAATATTCTCTGTATAAGAGACTCCCAAATCTCATCTATCACCTAGTCTATCTGGTAAACTGATGTGTGATCATCTCAAGGCAAATGTCTAGCCTATTTTTAACTATGTAACCTCTGAAAGAACCACAAAAAAAGTCACAACATACTAAATGAAAAGATCTTTTAATACACGTTTAGTTTTCACTTTGTTTTTGTGAGTCCCTCAAGACGGACACTTCTATTGTAGGCCATAAAATGGGCCAAATGTTTGTGTCAAATGAGTGTTAACTAAAATAGGTTACTGTCTACAAAGTAGTTGGGGAGCAAGCAATTTGTTTAAAAATAACAAGTTATGTCCTCTCACCATTTGTAAATATCTGACCCCCCCAAAAAAAACCCCTCAAATTTATTACTTTTAAGTATGTTTCAGGATACAAATCTCTTTGCAAATTACATATGTTTTTAGAAAATATGCTACAATTTCCTTTTTAGAAAAAGAGGACATTAAAAGTTCTTTACTTTTAGACGTGTTGTTAATCCTAAACAGTACACAAGCTAATGGATAAGAACACTAAATAGAATGAGTGTTATTCTCACTCAGAGATTTGCTATCTACTCCTCTCTAGGTTACACACACTTTATTGGGTTATAACATCAAGGACCCTTAAGACAGCAATAGCAAACCTTTTAGAGCTTTCAGTGATACAAACAGTCCACTGTGGTATGTGTGCCATAGGTTCACCACCACTGCTTTAGGATATTAAATTGCCATTTTGCAAAAATCATTAAGCAATTTACATGAGCTCTGTTAGGTCTGAGATTTAGTAGAGATGCTAGATTAATTGTACCCTAAAGCAAAGTCATGTACTTAGGGAAATATAACCTACAAAGAGATAATCTGAGGCACTTTAAATGTTTTTTAAAGGTCTTAAGGTAAGCTCTGATATGCCTTGGAAATCTGTGTAAGAGATGCTACCATAATGCAAACTTCTTTTCCAACTCAAAGATCTACTGTTCAATTTTTCCCATACTGTCACTACCCATATCATCAAAACAGATTTAAAGGTAAAGCTGAAGACATGATTCAGAAAAGAGATGTTTGTCTTTTTTGTTGTTGTTGTTGTTCTACATTATTTGCCTGATTTCAGAAAATATTTCAGAAAGTAATTTTTAGAAGAAATTCTTTAGTCATGTAATAAATTCCGGAGATGCCTTTCACCTTTGCCAAAACTTTTTTCTTACCCAAAGCACAAGTGTTCTTCAACATTCATACACAAATATTTTGAACCAACTGTAAAACCTGAGGTGGTGGAACACAGTAAAATGGAGATTCTATGCCTTTAAGCTCAAGGTCAGAGATCACCCAACAAACACAATACAAAGTGGAAAATGTTCATGCTATAAAAACATGAAAATAAATATAAAACTTTATTGACCAAACCTAAATTGAGATTGAAATTTCAGGATGATAAGAAAACTGAGACGGTGAATCTTTTAAAGTGCGGAGAATCTTGGCCTGTGCCAAAGACCTGTTATCTTAGCTGCTCTGGAGGCTAAAGTGGGAAGATCACTTGAAAACCCACAAGTTCAAGACCAACTTGCCCTCCTGGGCAACACAGTGAGACCTCACCTCAGGAAAAAAAAAAAAAAAAAAAAAAAAGACGGAAAAAGGGGGGAAAAAAAAAATAAAAAAAAAAAAAAAAAAAATGCGGCAAATAGGGTGAAGAATAAAAAGTTTTCCAAGGGGGGCAACTTGAGTATCCCATGCAGGAGAGCAGCAAATTCAAATGCCCATGGAGCCAAGCAGGTCACAAAATAACAAGTAACTTGATGAAGACTGTGAACTCCAGCTGCACAACTATGGGAGCATCCAATACACAGCACACCACAGACTTTACCCATGTAGAAACCTAGCCCAGTGTTGTCAGCTTCCAATAGTTCAAGAGATTCCAGAAGTTTCTCCAGTGTTTTAATAAGTACCCACACGTTGCCATGTCACAATCTCCAATTCAGAAAATATGAGATATGAGGACACAGACAGAAGATAAACTGGGATCTTCTGACAGAGGATATGACGTAAACTGGGAAAAACCAAAGGCTTACCAGTCTTGTCACATCCATTCACACCATGTACCCTTGTGCATGTCATTCTTGTAGTCTGTTATACATCAACCTCTGCCTCCTCTTGAGGATTACACTAATTAGCCTAAGGCCTTTGGCCAAGTGCCTGTAAACACTGCTGAACCTCTACATTTTAAGTGACCTTGGAGTTCTGTTATTTTGGGCAAATGGGGGAATCGATTTAGAGGATTGACTAAAGGAATTGGCAGTGGTGAAGTGGATAAGGTCCCCAAACCTAGTAACCATTCATACTTTTTAAGCATTTACTATAAAACCTTTTCGTGTAAGCCTCACAACCCCATGAAATTCGTAGAAGCACGAATCTATGTCGTAGATGAGGAAAACGTTTACAAACTTCCCCAAGGTCAAACTACCTGTAAGCAACAATACTGTCAGACTTTGCTGGCAGCGGTTGGACACCTGAATCTTGAACTTTAAGCATGACGAGGTACAAAGGTTAAGCTGCCCTGGGATCCCAGATTGGACCAATGCAAAGAACCCCTACAGGCCAGGATGGCAGCGAGGCAGCATCACTCCAGAGCGCCCCATTCAGCGCGTCCCCAGCCAAGGAGGCTGAGGCCCGCGGGGGTGAGCGCTGCCCAAGGTCGCCCGCTCCAAAAACTGATCCTCCCAAACAAACAGGACCGCCCTCTTCGGCTGCCAGTCGGGTCTAGGCCGGAGGGAGCGAGAAAGGGGAGTCCCCTGTACCCGGCTCACCATTGAGGCCCACGGAGGCGACAAGAGGCCGTCCCACGGCCTGGCCACTCAGTGACTCCCGGCACAGGAAAGGTCGCTTCA